ATGTAAATACTAAAATAAACTAATAGTTACTACTATTCCTACTTGGTGGTTTTTCACTGGCTGCGGGTGTTCAGGGTACGGATCCCCCGCTATAAACGAGGGACTACTGTAATAGTTTCATAAGAACCATTTGGGCCTTCCACCTCCACTGACATTTTCAGTGAATATTGTGTTTTACAGTCTCTCGTTGTTGCTGCCTCCAACAAAAAGCAAAAGGCCGGGCTTCGTCTGTGTGAGCGTTTTGTCTGTTGGCAAAATTCATCGTGAACAGTTGGACAGATCTTAGTGAAGCCTACAGAAAGTCATTATTTGATGTGGTTTTACAACTGAATAACTTTTACTGTTAACCCAATTCAAGATGGCCTCCACAGCCAGTTGAACATAATCACCACAAAAACAGCTATAACTCAGTCAGTTTTACAGATATTGAGCTCAAACAGGTGTGGAAGTAGTTGGGAGTAGTTCCCAACACATGCTCGATCTGCCAACAGCTCCTGTGAGACCCTTGTTGACAATGTTTCCATTAATGGTTGATAAAACGGAGCCAAATATAGATACTGAGCTAAAAGTTCACGTGGTAGTAGGTGAGAGGCATCCCGAACACAAGAGCACCAGCAGAACCCCAAAGATACATAACATAAGATAAATGGTAAACGGACTGTACTTGAATATCATCTTTCTATCTTATTTCAAGATACTCAAAGCTCTTTACTACAATCTGTGCCTCATGTATCCATTCATACAGCTCTATACTAGATCTCTACAAAGATAACTGAACAAATCATTCTAGAGACTAATCAGAGCTTTATCACATTCAGACACTGATGGGACACACATCAGAGGCTATGAGGGGCTCAGTGTCTTGCCAAAGGACACTTCAGCATGTGACTGCTGGTGGATTCAAACCCCCAACCCTTGTATTGGAGGACGACTGCTCTAATCACTCAACCACAGCCGCCCCGAGATCAAACGTTATTTTTAAGAATTGATCAAAGCAGCTTCAACTCCATCAATTCCTTGTTTAAAAGTTTGCCAGCAGTGGGTGCACCGCTCCAAGGAATGCTGGGCATGTTTGACAGTTTGAAACTTGTTCTGTATTTTATTGTTCTGTCAACTTTAATCAGAGGTCCCTTTGAATAACAAAACTTAAAGACTGTGTGTTATAACTCGTAATGTAAAATCTTAGGAACATAAACTGCATCTGACTGATGTATCGCTGCTCATCATCCGACTGATGTATCTCTGCTCATCATCTGACTGATGTATCTCTGCTCATCATCTGACTGATTCATCGCTGCTCATCATCTGACCGATGTATCGCTGCTTATCATCTGACCGATGTATCGCTGCTTATCATCTGACCGATGTATCGCTGCTTATCATCTGACTGATGTTTCGCTGCTTATCATCTGACTGATGTATCGCTGCTTATCATCTGACTGATGTATTGCTGCTTATCCTAAATCATGTTAAACTGAGCTAAGACTCTTGTAATTAACCAAATCAAAAGGTTTTTAGTAAAAGAACGGCAGCTATAAGACTTACTGTAGCAACTTTCACAGGCTCTGCCCAGACCTGGGGCTTGTCCTGAGCCCGGGGGTCCAGGGACAACAGCACCCGCTGCTCCGTTTAGAAGAGCTGGCTTCACGTTGTTACTCAGCTGGTTCGGGTTTGGCTTGTTACTGAGAGGTTCACGAGCAGAGTCACACAAGCAGATAAAAGCAGGTTTTCTTCTCTGTGCCAATAAGATTCAAAAGCATTTTGTTTTAGTCAAGTCTGGATGATCTGTTAAAAGTTTTCATGGATACCTCTGTAATAAACTTTCTGTCTGGGCTGTTTTAAAGAATATTCTCTGCAATGCTTTTAGAAATGTTTTGATGTTTGCAGATGACATTGTGATCTGTGGTGAGAACAGGGAACAGGTGGAAGAGAACTTGGGGAGGTGGAGGTATGTAAGACAGAGTCCATGTGTGTGAATGAGAGGGAGGAGGTGGAACAGGGAGGCTACAAGGAGCAGAGGTCACAAAGGTGCAGGACTTCAAGGACTTGGGGTCCACTGTCCAGGAACATGTGGAGTGTGGTGAAGAGGAGAAGAAGAGAGTCCAGGCAGGATGGAGTGATGGAGAAAAGTTTCAGCAGTGATTTGAGACAAAAGGGTGTCAGCAAAGGTCAAAGGAAAGTTTACAAGACAGTGGTGAGACCAGCTATGTTGTATGGTCTGGAGACAGAGACATGGACAAAAAGACAGGAGACAGAACTGGAAGTGTCAGAAATGAAGATGCTGAGGTTCTCCTTAGGAGAGACAAGGATGGAGAAGATCAGGAATGAGATGATCAGAGGTACAGCACAGGTTGAACAACTGGGAGATAAAGTTAGAGAAACTCAGTCCCACAAGCAGCACACTCACATAGTGGACCAGTTTGATGGTGATAAGATGGTTTCTGGGGCCCGTCCTTTCCCCTGTCGACTCCTCTGAGGCAGCCATGGTCAAAGTGGTTCAAAACATCATTTTTTTACCTGATTATTGAGCATGAACTTTGATGTTTTGAACCACGTTGGCCATGGCTGCCTCAGAGGAGCCAATGGGGAGAAGGCGGACTCCAGAAACCATCTCATCATCAGCAGACTGGTTGAGCCACCATGTGAGTGCGCTACTTGTGGGACTGAGTTTGTTGTAGCTCCTTGGACTGAAGAAGTTCTTATGATGAAGGGCGAAACGTTTCAACACAAAGAAAGCGTCCAGAGGGCCTGACTGAACTTTGATGGAAACAGAAAAGTTTGCACACATCAAAGAGGAGTTTTAAATTTTTTTTTTGTTAAGACTTTTTGGTGCAGAATTTGTCCTAAAACCAAAGAAGGCAGTAAACTCACACCAAATGTAAGACAATAAACAATAAAAGAAAAAGTACTCACTAGTTGGGGATGTAGACCTGTTTCAGCTTGCTTTCTGCCTCGGCAGCTTTTAATCGTTTCTGAAGCAGAAACAGGTAAAGGAGCGAGAAAACAGAAACACTTGATCCACAACAGCAGAGAGAAAAATACACGTTCAGTTTAAGAAAACACCGAGCAGAACTTTACCTGCTGCACATATCGATCTGTGGTTTTCCACATGTAGTAATACTCAATGGTACTCGTCAGTGACTTCCAGGGCAACTAGGAAGGAGACACAACAAAATAAAAGTACTTTTAGGAAGAATGCAACAAAATAAAAGTAGTTTTATAAAGGATACAACAAAATAAAAGTAG